ACGTGGGAATCTTGACATTTAGAATACGCTGTTGGAAAGTGGAGTCAGGACCATACCAGAGAGATGAAGTGACAGCACGAGGGCCTGTTCTTGACTCCGCACAGCGGCCAATTCCTGTCTCTGTGGGAGTGATCACCAGCCCCACTGGCTGAGGGAAGAGACAGTGATGGCCTCCAGCAGAGGTCTCCTGAGCGACCAGTGGAGTTTCCTGAGATAGCTTTAGAGAGATGCTCCATGTGCACGCTCACCTCATGTATGTAACTGTGTGTGATTGCACACATGCATGTGTATGATTGCACGTGTACACACATGGCAGTGTGCACGCAGGTGTTGCCATGTGCACATGGATACGAGTGCGTGTGTAGCTGTGTGCTCGTGTGACCGTATGCATACGCGTGTGTACCTATGCACATATGCGTGTGTGTTGCTGTGTGTGCACATGGGCGTGTGTGATAGAGAGCAGGCCCGTCCGTGGTGGTTCTCAGGCATCACCACCTACGCATATCTGCCACTCTAGGAGGTGCTGAGTTTCTTTCATCTCCTCCTGAGTTTACACTAGAAAAATGCCTCCCTCCTCACTGGATTTTCCCCCCGTGCTTTTCCTAAGGAGCATTTATTCTTTTTCAAACCATAGATGCATCTTCTGCCAGAGTGGAGCATCTGCCTGGATCCCACGTGTGCCACAAAGCGTGCCATGGCCTGGGAGTGCCCTTCAAAGCCGTCCTCGCCTCCTGCAGAGCCAAACCTCGCCCGACAAGCGCACAGTGTCAAGCCCTCAGCCCCCCGAGGAAGATGGCCCAGACTGGGCACACGGCCCAAGCAGCTGCCTCTCGTGAGTGTCCAAAGCCCTGAGGGCAGGGCCACCTGCTCAGTGACGGGACAGTGAGCCCGAAAAGGGCCCCAAGGGGGCTTTGCAGGGACAGGGTGGGCAAAGGAAAGACAGCAAACCTCAGAGGGCCAAGCCGTCCAGTGTGCAGGAGGCCTGGTCTGTGGCATTTCGCCGTCAGAGCTTCTGCCTTCTTGGGTGGCCCTGGTGGGGGGTCCCCAGGCAGGTATGGGAACCGTGTGGTTCTCTGGGCCGTCTTCTGTTTCTGTGAGGTTCTCTTTGGGCCTCGTGTCATGAGACCACGATACTATGGGAGCCCCTCGCTGCACGGACAGGGGTGCTGCATCTCACTGATGCAGGGTGCGGAGGGGACGCCTCCTAGCAGAAGGGGCCCTGGGAGGAGACCGACTAGAGTCTGTCCCTGGACCAAAAATGGGACGGCCCGTGTCTGTTCCAGGATGAGGGACTGGACGAGAAGGTGGAAACCCATTCAGGCCCTTGAATCAGTTCCTCCTGCCTTAGCTGGAGCATCAGCTCTGAAGCGCCAGAGGCGGGGGTGGCAAACTGTGGCCTGTGGGCCACGTTTGTGCCCGCTGCCTGTTTTTGTAAATAAAGTTTTTTCGGGACCCAGCCACACCCATTACATACCTATGGTCCATGACTGCTTTTGCAGACTTGAGTAGCTATGGCAGACCGTATGGCCCACAAAAATCTAAAATATCTGCTATCTAGCTCTCTATAGGAAAAAGTTTCCTGACTCTGCTCTGGAGATCTGTAGTGAGGTGGCAGTGGAAAGCCTGGGGTGCATTTAGGAAGCCCCTGTCAGATCCAGGGCTCAGACTTGGGGAGCATGTTGGGCTCAGTGGTGGCATTTTTAATGCATTCAGTGGACATGACTGGCCAAATAGAGAGTCGTTTAAATACACGTATTTACGGAGAGCCCAGCTGCATTTACTTCAGCTAATGTGGGGGGAGTGGGAGCTCTCTGTGCCTGAAACCTCCCTGGTTCAGTCCTTCCCCCTCATGACATTGGTCTGTTTCTTCTCTCCCCACCCCACCCCCTCTTGTTTCAGTCAGAACAAAGAATGCCTTTTGCTCTGGAGAAAACAGATGCAAATCTGTGGTTTGTAGGGCTGGGGAACCTTTTTAAACCTGTAAGACACCAGGAGCTCTTATGGACAGTTTTGGCGGGAGAGTGCGCAGTGAAGCTAAACTAAAGTTAGTGACTCTCACGAAGGGATTAGAAGCATGGGGGAGGGGAGTGCCCAGCCTTCCAGCAGAGTTTGTGCTCGAAAGGGTTTTTCCAGTCATGGGGCCACTTTGCAACAGTCCCCGCTGCTCACAGGAGAAAGAAAGCCACCTCTAGGTGCCCCTTTATGCCGCACGGGGGACTGCTTTTGCGTGGCTGCCAGCAGAGCTGGAAGTGCTCCTCGCTGGGGCCGGGCTGGGCCAGGAACTCAGGTATTTCACGTGTCTGGTAAGGGTGGGCTCACAGGGGAGACGCCGCGGGTCAGACTTTGAAGGCGACCTCGCCATGTTAAGGAGCTTAGGAGTTATCCTGGGAGAGCAGGGGATTTAAGCATTGGAGGCAGCGTCAGCTCTGTGGGTTACAAAGATCTTTCTGGCAGCTGTGGCATGGCAGATGGAGCAGGCCCAGGATGGGGACGCTTGAAGGTGACCCTTGGGGCTGCTGGGAAGCCAGTGAGCCTGCCGTGCTCAGCGGGAGGGCAGCCTGGCCACAGGGCCGTGGAGAGCAGCAGTTAGCATCCGTGCCAAGGCGAGGAGTCCGTCAGGACGTTTCATTCAGAGTGACCTGAAGGCTCCCTTCCCAGACATTCTGTGGAACCCAAGAGCTTCACCATGAGGGCCAGGGGAAAGGCCGATGGCCTAGGGCATCTTCGGGCAGGACTGATTGTGGAGGCACCCCCAGGAGTCGCCAGCCCTCAGACTCCCAGCAGACTGTGCTCTGCTTGCCCTGTGCCCACGTCGAGTTTGAGTTTGAGGGACTAGCCCTCGTTGCACGTGACTGGGCTTGTTGTCCAAGGGGACCTGGGCCTCGCAGGTGGCCACGTGGGACTGCGGCAGTTGGGTGGGGCTGAGAACAGGATCAGGGCGCACCCAGGACCGGCAGGGCATGAAGTGATGGGGCACTTGAGGCTACCTGCCCCCTCGGTTCCCCTGTGGTGAGGGACCTGAGCCTGCCAGCACGTGGGAGAGACCTGGGGTGAGTGGGGAGACCCCGCTGTGTGCTCGGGAAGCCAGTCCTGTTGAGGCTCAGCCGCCGTGGCGTCTCTGTAAGTTTCTGCAGTTGCACTGTAACCCTCGGAGACCAGGGCTTCTGCGACCAGGTCCACTTAGCCCACCTTCTGTCCCCCCCTGTGGAACCCCTTTACTGAGTCTCTCAGCCTCCTCAGGCCTTGCCCCCTGCATCGCCACCCCAGCTGCCCCTTGCCGGAACGCCTTGCTTATTACACCCCTGTCTCGGGCCTGCATGGGCTCGCCTCCCCCCACACCAAAATCCAAACTGCCCCGTGGTTGCCTCTCTCTCTCTTGTTTAAGCCCAGGTCTCACTGCGCTGTCCCCAGGCCTCTGGCCCTGCTGTCATCACCTGCTGCTCCTGCCACTTGCCCCCTGACCCCTTTCCCACCAGGTGGATCCCAACCGTCTTTCAGAACGTGGCCCAGGTGTGCTACTAGCCAGGTTACCTTCCCTGACCCCCGCCTCCACCCCCCACCAGCTGAATTCCATGCCTCGTGGGCCCTGCAGCACCCTGTCCCCTCCCACCCACCTCTGGGGCCTCTGCACAGAGGACCAGCCTCCACCTGACCCTTCGCAGCCTCCCAGGTGCCATCTCCTCCCTGTCTCCCGACACTTAGTCCCTCTATGCTGGCACCAGCCTGCACTGACCTCTTTTCTGTGTCTCCCATTGGAGGCAGGCTCCCTGGAGGAGGGGGCTGTGTGGCTTTCATCTTTCTGTCCTGAGTGCACTGCCTGGCGCATGAGCAGGCTCTCGGGGAGTATTGGACGAAGGGATGGGTGATGGGTGGATGGGTGATGGGTGGTGGATGGGTGATGAGTGGATGGGTGATGGGCGGTGGATGGGTGGATGGATGGATGGGTGGGTGATGGGTCGATGGACGAATGGATGGGTGATGGCTGGTGGATGGGTGATGGGTGGTGGATGGGTGGATGGATGGGTGGGTAATGGGTGGATGGATGGGTGGGTGATGGATGGGTGATGGGTGGATGGGTGATGGGCGGTGGATGGGTGATGGGTGGTGGATGGATGGGTGGGTAATGGGTGGATCGGTGGTGGGCGGTGGATGGGTGATGGGTGGATGGATGGATGATGGGTGGTGGATGGATGGATGGATGGGTGGGTGATGGGTGGATGGGTGATGGGTGGTGGATGGGTGGATGGATGGATGGATGGGTGGGTGATGGGTGGATGGATGGGTAGATGGGTGGATGGGTGGTGGGTGGTGGATGGGTGGATGGATGGATGAGTAGATGGGTGATGGATGGGTGGATGGATGGATGGGTGGGTGATGGGTGGATGGACGAATGGATGGGTGATGGCTGGTGGATGGGTGATGGGTGGTGGATGGGTGGATGGATGGGTGATGGGCAGTGGATGGGTGATGGTTGGTGGATGGATGGGTGATGGGCAGTGGATGGGTGATGGGTGATGACTGGCTGGCTAAGTGGGATCTCTCCACGTAGTCAGCTGTCACGGGTGCAGAGAAGTGCTTTGGGCCCTGCAGAGGCCACAGAGAAGCTGAGGAGGAAGCCTTGGCCCCTCTCTGCTGCTCCTTCATACTCTGAACTCTGAGCTGGGATAGTAAGACGCATAGTGAGATTGGGTTAAGAAGTGCTGTAAACCCGTCAGGGCAGGCACTGGGCGGATCCCTGAACACATGGCTGAGACATGTTATGCTCTTCCTGAATGCCAGGCCCCAGGGGAAACATCTGGCTGGGTTTGTACCCTGGGACCTCCTGGAGCGCTCCACAGCCGGCGCGTTGCCAGGCCTGTGCCCCGCGCATCACTGACCAAACGCCTTCCTTCTTGACCTTAGGTTCCTCAGCCAAGCAGCAGGGAACTGTTAGCAGCCTGAGGAACGGCAGGCTGGGAGCCTCGGGCACCGCCCAGCCTTGCTGCCAGCTCACCTGCAAGATGTGGACAGCCCTCGTGCTCATTTGGGTTTCCTCTTGGTCCTTATCTGAAAGCCACCTGACAGCCCAGCATCCACGTAAGTGAGAAAGCCGTGTGACTGCTGGATGGGCCTGCAGGGGCCCCAGAGCTCCCGGGTGCTGGGCTGCGAAGGCCTGTTGGGCCAACATGGGACCTGGCCTCTGAGCCTTGAGAGGGTGACTTACTTGGCCTTGCAAAATGTCATTCCTCCCATAAACCTAGTCTTTATCGGGGAGTTTGTCAACCCGTACATCACATATTTAGTCGCGCTTCTCCTCTGTGCCGGGCACTATTCTCCAGGGATCCTGCTTTGAATCCTGTCATAAAGCCAAGAATTCTTGCATGGTGTGAATATCTGGGCAACGGTTTATCTGCTGTGTAAACCTGGGTGTGTGTTGGATAGGTTTTTTTAATGGCGAATCACACCTGTAACGCGAGAGATTATGATATTTTGAGAACTGGATCAAAAACTGAAGCTCTGGGGGCTTCCCTGGTGGCGCAGTGGTTGAGGGTCCGCCTGCCGATGCTGGGGATGCAGGTTCGTGCCCCGGTCCGGGAGGATCCCACGTGCCGCGGAGCGGCTGGGCCCGTGAGCCATGGCCGCTGAGCCTGCGCGTCCAGAGCCTGTGAACGGGAGAGGCCACAATGGTGAGGGGCCCGCGTACCGCAAAAAAAACAATGAAGCTCTGAAGCCTTTCATGGGCTTGGGGTTCAGAGAGCGCCAAGGAGATTTTAAATCAAAGTGCTGAGCGCCTCTGTGATGGGCTGCGGGCCAGATGTGTGCAGGGAGGAGATGAGAGGGAAACATGTTTTCCGGGCTAAGGAGCAAGGCACCGCACAGCCTCCCCGGCCAGCCCCACGGGCCGGAAATTAAGACAGTCTCTGAATGATCCACCTGCACAGGGTTGAAGGTGATCGTATCTTTTCCTCCCTTTTCTGACCCTAATGGTCCTCAGTCCTCAACAAGACGCTGGAGAATTCAGAACAAAACTCATCCGTGGAAACCATTACAAGAGTCTTGAATGAAACGTCTGCAAGAATGACCTCGGTGACACCTTCTCCCATCACGTTGACCAGAGGGACTTGGGGAGGCGACCCCGCCTCTCCTGCGGTCACAGCAGGGACAGCGCACAGGACAGAGGCAGGCGCGTCAGCGACGGCAGAAGGGACCCCCGACGGAGCCACCTCCAGGGTGCCCACGCCGCCTGTCCCGGCGTCTGACTGGCGGACCCCGTCCTCACCCCACACGCGGGCGCCTGGCAGCGGCACGTTGTCTGGGCCAGCGACGCACACGACACCCACGCCGGCCACGGGTGCTCCCACAGCTGCTGCAGCCCTGGCAAGTCGTGTGACTGCTGGATGGGCCTGCAGGGGCCCCAGAGCTCCCGGGTGCTGGGCTGCGAAGGCCTGTTGGGCCAACATGGGACCTGGCCTCTGAGCCTTGAGAGGGTGACTTACTTGGCCTTGCAAAATGTCATTCCTCCCATAAACCTAGTCTTTATCGGGGAGTTTGTCAACCCGTACATCACATATTTAGTCGCGCTTCTCCTCTGTGCCGGGCACTATTCTCCAGGGATCCTGCTTTGAATCCTGTCATAAAGCCAAGAATTCTTGCATGGTGTGAATATCTGGGCAACGGTTTATCTGCTGTGTAAACCTGGGTGTGTGTTGGATAGGTTTTTTTAATGGCGAATCACACCTGTAACGCGAGAGATTATGATATTTTGAGAACTGGATCAAAAACTGAAGCTCTGGGGGCTTCCCTGGTGGCGCAGTGGTTGAGGGTCCGCCTGCCGATGCTGGGGATGCAGGTTCGTGCCCCGGTCCGGGAGGATCCCACGTGCCGCGGAGCGGCTGGGCCCGTGAGCCATGGCCGCTGAGCCTGCGCGTCCAGAGCCTGTGAACGGGAGAGGCCACAATGGTGAGGGGCCCGCGTACCGCAAAAAAAACAATGAAGCTCTGAAGCCTTTCATGGGCTTGGGGTTCAGAGAGCGCCAAGGAGATTTTAAATCAAAGTGCTGAGCGCCTCTGTGATGGGCTGCGGGCCAGATGTGTGCAGGGAGGAGATGAGAGGGAAACATGTTTTCCGGGCTAAGGAGCAAGGCACCGCACAGCCTCCCCGGCCAGCCCCACGGGCCGGAAATTAAGACAGTCTCTGAATGATCCACCTGCACAGGGTTGAAGGTGATCGTATCTTTTCCTCCCTTTTCTGACCCTAATGGTCCTCAGTCCTCAACAAGACGCTGGAGAATTCAGAACAAAACTCATCCGTGGAAACCATTACAAGAGTCTTGAATGAAACGTCTGCAAGAATGACCTCGGTGACACCTTCTCCCATCACGTTGACCAGAGGGACTTGGGGAGGCGACCCCGCCTCTCCTGCGGTCACAGCAGGGACAGCGCACAGGACAGAGGCAGGCGCGTCAGCGACGGCAGAAGGGACCCCCGACGGAGCCACCTCCAGGGTGCCCACGCCGCCTGTCCCGGCGTCTGACTGGCGGACCCCGTCCTCACCCCACACGCGGGCGCCTGGCAGCGGCACGTTGTCTGGGCCAGCGACGCACACGACACCCACGCCGGCCACGGGTGCTCCCACAGCTGCTGCAGCCCTGGCAAGTGTAAGCGGCCCCTTGGGCTTGCACGGTCGTCCCAGGCACACCCCCGGCCACGCCACAACGAGCCCCGCGGTGCCCCTGAGTCCCCAAGCACTTAACGCGTCCACACAGGGCCCCACCGTCCAGGCGCCGACGGCCCGGACTGCGGCTGATGCAGCAAGTAGGCCTGCGCCCACCCTCCTCAACACAACACCAGAACCCGGCTCCCCCTCTTCGGTTTCCGCATCCATGACAGTGGGGACCACGACCAAGGCCCCCCAGCCGGCTGCCAGCACAGCGCCAGCACCTGCCCTTCATGCCAGCCCGGGCCCCCCGATACAGCCCAGCCCCGTCACATCCACGCCGGGGGCCGCGGGGCCAGGCACCACTCAGACGCTGGAGCAGGGCGCGCCTGAAGCCGCGCCTGGTACTGCTTCCATGGGGCCGACCCTTGGGAGCTCAGGGGACTCCAAGGTGCCAGCCACAGACTCGTGCCAGCTCAGCACCCAAGGCCGGTACCTGGTGGTCTCCAGCGAGCCCCTGGCCCAGTCCCCAGTGAACAGAAGTTTTCTCCTGGCAGTGCTTTTGCTGGGGGTCACCCTCTTCATCACAGCCCTGGTTCTGCTTGCCCTGCAGGCCTACGAGAGCTACAAGAGGCAGGACTACACGCAGGTGGATTATCTCATCAACGGCATGTACGCCGACTCGGAGATGTGAGGGGAGGCCGCTCGGCCGGGCCTGGGGCCGGGCCCTTCCCCTCCTTCCATGTTGCCTCTGAGGCCAAACCAAGCGCTTCCAGATTCTTTTGGTGCAATTTAGGAGACGTGCCAGTTGCTTAAACACATTTAATCGTTGTCCGATTAATTCCATGATCACTAAAGAGTTGCTGCTTTTTTCATATTTATTTTTGTAACAATCACAAGCAGGCAGTGATTCTGCCTTGGGGTGGGGTGGGCGGCCCCGGGGTGGGTCCCGACCTGAATTAAAGCAATGACCCTTTCCGCTCAGACCCTGTCTCCCCATTTGTGTGGGCTGCGTTCTGCTCCCCTCCCCCCATGGCGGCCGGGGAGCCTTTTCGAGATGCACGTGACAGGGTGTGTTCTTGTAAACGTTGAATGTAACACGAGGCCCTGGCCATCTGCTGTGTCTGTGCCGCTCTCCTGGGCTTCGCTCTTAGGCCCAAACCTGCCCCAACCTGGGTGGGAGGAACCCCAGCCTTTGGGGGTCTCTGGCACCACATGGAGATGGGGCCCCTTCCTCTAACCCTCCTTTTTCAGCACTGAAGTGGTGGACACGTGGAGCCTGGTTTGGGCGCGAGAGCCGAATGCAACATGTAAACCACACCTGAGCTACACAACGTGGCCAGGTCGGCGGGACCTACCCAGACCAGGCTCTAGGTGACCCTGCACAGCTCATGGTGTGCCCTGGCCGAGTGGAAACCCAATAAGCTGGTGCCGTGGGATAGTTATTACTAGCACCTCGCTCCAGGTCACCCCGGAACCCAGGGGAGCGCTAGGCCCGAGCGAGCCCAGGGCCCTCTCCTCAGCAGCACGATTGCCCCGGGGCCAGGCCTCATGTCCCCAACAGCCCTCAGAGCCCACACTGTGCTTGTCCCATGTCACACGCTGTCCTTGTGCTTCATGCATGAAACTCATTCAGCCCTCATCCCCACCCCAGGAGATCAGGGCTCTGATCCCCATTTTAAACGCGGGGCCACTGAGGCAGAGGAGACCTAACTCACCCACTGAGGGCCAGAGTCGGGGTTAAAGCAGTTCCAGAGTCCAGCTCTTTCCTTAACTATTTTGTTTTACAGCCGCCGGGGCTGCGCTTGGCATTCTAGCTTCATCTGCTCACCAGCCGGAGGGAGGCGAGAGAGCTGGCAGGCAGCACGTGAGGCTGCATTCCCAGGCCAGGTATGCAGCCACCAGCTGCATGACCCGGAGCAAGTGTGGAGTGTTGTGGACTCAGCTGCTTTACCTGGGCGATGGGGAGACTGTCTGTCTGTCACGGCCCCCAGGGGCATGCTGCCTGGAGCGATTCCAGGGGGGGAGTTGACTCTTGCTTCCTCAACTACTCTGAACCCTGAGGAGGAGGCTCTAGTTTCCCCATCACAGGAATCTCCTGAGCCAGGCCTGCGTGTCCACTTCCTCTTATTTAAATTCTGCCTCCTCCAAAAAGGATTTCAAATGGCGCATAATAAGAGACAATGGTAGTGAACTCCCAAACCATTTGAAATAACTTACGAGCCAAGGGTGGAGAAATATACAGAGTAGGGAGGAGGGATGGGAACGGTCCTCACCCGTTTTCTAGCTTCATCCCGGGTTCCCCCAGCCCATCTTTTCTCACTGGTTGGTTCAGGGGGCCCAGCAGACCCCTTTCCCTCCCCAGCAGCTATGCTGTGTGTCCTGACAGCTAGGCTCCAAGCAGCCTATGCACCTGTGTTTCTCCCTGCCCTAGCCGACCCATCGTACACCTGGGCCCATCTGCTGTGTGATCACAGGTGCTGGCGCTGACTGTGGCTGAGAAAGTGTCAACCTCACTGATCTGAGCTCCAGGCCAGGCTGCAGCTCGGTCCTTGAGTCTGAGAGGCCACCTGCTGCCCGGATCAGGCAGCTCTGCACAGAGTGGAGAATCAGGGGGATTTAGGGGGTGCCCTTTTCCTCTGCCAGCATCACCCCAGCCGCCTGTCAAGGGCAGGCTGCACACCCTGGCTGGTGGGGTCTCACCTGATAGAGACAGAGCCTTAGACCCACGTGAGCCAAGGAACACTGGGTGGCTTGTTCCTCTCCAGGGGTGTAGGACGAGGGGCAACCCACAGGGCTGGCTTTCATCCTTAGCTTGTGACCAGGGGCCTCTGCCTGGCACTCCTACCTCCAAGGAATGGGGGCATGGAGTGTCACGGGACCTGCCTGTCCCTCTGCCCCAGCCAGGACTCCAAGTCCTTTCCTCCCAAGAATCGGTTGTGCTCTCCACCCCCCACTCCCTCCTTAGCGGTCCTATTCCCAACCATCCACAGTCATTTTGGCTCCCATGGTGGGCCACAAATTCGTAACACGCAAGGCCAAGCTCAGCATCAGCCCTCAGGGTTCTTCCTGAAACCAATGGCGTCACTGCTTACGGGAGCTGGAGACCTGGGCTTCATCCTTGAGTCCGGCTGACCATCCTAAGTTCCTGTGCATGGGCCTCTCCCCGGCCAGAGTCCTTCCTGCTGTCCTGCCTGGGGCCCCTCCACCACCTGCCAGCTCCGACCCAGCTGTCTTCCACCCTGCAGCCAGGGCCCCCTCAAAATACAAACTTGGCCACACCTTTCCCTGCCAGCAGCCCTTCCCGGATAAAGACCAAGCTGCCACGCCAGGCATTCCAGGCAAACCTTCCAGTGCATTCTGGCTGAGCGGAGACAGGGGAGGAGCCAGCCTCAAGAAAGCTCATAGGAGATGGAGAGCACGGAGGGCCCCTCCATGCAGGTCTGTCCAGATCTAGAGAGGCTCGACTTCCCTGGCAGTCCAGTGGTTAAGACTCCGTGCTTCCAATGCAGGGGGCCCAGGTCCGATCCTGCTTGGGGAACTAAGATCCCACATGCCACGCAGTGTGGCCAGAAAATAAAAAATAAAATAAACCAATCTAGGGGAGCTGCACGTCTGAGCCCCAGGCCATCCCTTGCCTTGGAAGCCACCAGCCTGCAGGGGCCAGGGGGGAAAGTCCCTTTCAGACTCAGCTCATCAGGCCCATTCCACACTAGCTGTTCGCCAACCAACTGGGGATTCAGACGTGAAGCTGTCCCCCAGCCCCTCCGCCGCTCGCCATGTGGTGCGTGAGAGTGAGAAGCGATGAGGAAGGAAAGAGGAGGCACGCGGGGGCACCTGACTCACCTGGGATGCTGGGGGGTGGGGTGGCCCCTGGCAAGGGGGGGGCGCCGCTCAGAGCCTCTTTCCCCCGGCTCTTTGCTCCAGCGACAGGGGCTGTGGCTGGTTCAGTGCACAGAGCAACACCGGCACGTGGGAGGAGCAGCGTCCCTGTTCAACGGATGAGAGTCCGAGGGGAAGGTGCCAGAAGGTCAAGGTCAAGTGAGCCAGATTCGGGGTTTGTTTCCAGTAGGGGCTTTCTTCCCTTCACAGTGAGGAAACCGAGGCACGGGATAGCCAAGTCACTTGCCCAAGGTCACCCTCCCAGCCAAGTGGCAGGACAGGATTCACTCTCGGTCGGTCTGCCTGTCTGTAGCCAAATATTGGCTACCTCGCAGAGGCTGTTTCCTCTTGGGGCAGCCCCGCGTCCTCAGGCCAGCGAAGTCCACGGGCTCCCCCTGGCGGCCGAGGCTCCCTCCTTCACCCTGGGTGCTGGCCCTGGCTGGAGACACTGGGTCCCCCTCCAGCCCGCTGCACCCACCCCACCCACGCCCCAACTTTGCCCGGGGTGGGGGGACTCCCTCCAGCCCGGCTCTCTTGGCATCGGGGCACCTTCCTGGTCCCCCCACCCTGGAAGAACTCGCCCACTCACTGCTCCTAGGCCGGGTCTCTTCTACGTTGGCAAGGAATGTTCTCCGTGGAATTATGTCATTTGTGCCTGTAACTATCTCCCCACCCGAGGAAGCCAGGAGTCCAGGGAGCGCACAGCCCCAGAACCCCACCATCTGGGTTGCTTGGGGCAAGCACATTCACACTCGGACACGATTTTTATTCCTACAACTCTGCTTTAGGAGAAGGGGACCAAGGTTTATCCAGCACGGGCACTGATGATAGCTAATATTTTTTGAGCACTTGCTATGTCTTGGCTTGATTGCCTTATAGCTCTCATCTCATTTAATGATCTCAGACCCCGGCCTTCCTGCTCCCCCATCCCACCCATAGCTCGTCCCACACACACAAGCCAGATCACCATGCCCTCCTGCCTAGATCCCTCCACTGGCTTCTCGCTGCGATTAGGAAAGAAATCCAAACAGGGGAGCTGAGAACACATGTGGCCAGTGGGAGGCATTCATGCAAAGTCAGGGAAATGGGGGTTCCAGGTAGAGAGACCATGACCACAGAGCCCCACGACGGGGAACAGAGGGGCGAGGGGGGGAGGGGAGGGGACAGGTTGGAGTCAAGGCCAGGGTGAGGAGGTAGGGGCCCAGGAGGGGTTTCGGCAAAGGAATAACGTCATCTGATTTGGGGGTTAGATATTACTGTGCTGGGAATTCCCTGGCGGTCCAGAGGTCAGGACACGGGGCTTTCACTGCTGGCCTGGGTTCATTCCCTGGTAGGGGAACTACGTGGCCAAAAAAAAAATTTACTTTGTCGAGTGGAGTATGTACAGATGAGGTGATGTGCTGTCTGGGGTGCAGGAGGGGAGCTTGGTGGGTGTGTGGAGGGAAGACACATCATCGTATCGCTGAATATGGAAGATGCATGTAAGTTCATCTCAGGTCATCCTACCCCCTCTGTGTTTATGTATGTCTGGCAGTTTCCATAATAAGATGTTAGAAGAAGGGAAAGGAGGACAGTAGAGTTTGATTTAACTCTCTTAAGTGAAAGATCGCTCTGGTTGCAAGCTGTGGAGGGAGTGGTAGATAGGGGGCAGCGTGTATGGGAGGCTGGGAAGCTGCTCCGCTGCCCAGGAAGTGATGACATGGCCTGGACCAGGGTGTGCTCACAGATGGAGAGAAGCCCATGAACTTGGGGACAGGTTTTGGAAGCTGAGTCAGCAGGACTGCCACTGTTTCTTTACACACATCCCACACG